TTGAAAAATATCGTAATTACAGTCATGTAAATGTTCAAATGTTATTCATAGAAAAGAAAAGAAAAAACAATGATGGAAACGAACAAGTTAATTCAGCAATTGCATTGGATTCAGGGGAAGTAATTGTTTACCTTGAAGACACAAATGAAACTGAGCTACCATTTGAAAGCAATGATACTGTGTACAATAATGTACCAACTGACCATTTTTTCTACAAGATACAAATTGGAAGTTTAAAGGAGGTTATTAATGAAAAACTAATAGATGAAGGTTTCAAGAAAGAATATGAGGTAGAGCATGTTATATGATTTTTAAGATAACAACAAAACAACAACCCGTGTAGTAAGGCACCTGACATAGATAATTATGAATACAGCCGAATCAATTTTTAAGTTTTCTTCATTCTATTAGCTTTTAACGAATTTCCCAGCAAATAAAATGTTCTTATGATTTAAACAATAAGCGATAACGTTTTCCAAAAAATTTTACCAAGGAATTTGAATTTTGTTACCAGTCTTACATATTTGTAAAACTGGCTCGATGCAAATGGAGACACGACTAATAGCAGTAGGTATCGGAAAACACCCGATATGGTTAATTGTCAGTAAATATATATGGATTAAACGGGACACAAAGGGATATGAATGTGTGTAGTTTGCAGAGTAACAACTTTAAGATGTATTAACAAAATTACCAAACTCCAAATTCAAAACGGGGAAAGTCCATGAAACATGACAAAACCATACGCTCTATTATATCAACCAAAACAGACATAATTGGTAAACTTGACAATAATGGGATCCAGCTGCCAAAATTGTTGTAACACATATCATAGATATACAACAAAAGTAAATTGAACAATTTAAACAAAGATACAGTTGAGTCTAAAAAAGACGCCAACAAAAAGGTTTTGAAGTTGATAGGAAATACAATACAGTACTTTTATTGTAAAACAAAAAACCCTTTGGATTATCAATATGTAATTAAGTAATACGTAACAGGTAATGGATTTTTACAATCAAGTCTACTGACTCTTTTACTTCTTTATGTTTTCCTAATATATGAAAGCCGATTTACGCATGATAGATGTGTTAAAATGCGTGATTTTGTTTTTACTAAATGTAGAGTGCTATAATCTTAAAATAGACAATAACAGGCCGTTATTAATATATCAAACCGTATTGGTTACCGGAACCTTGGATACACCAAACCAGGTACTTCATATCTGAGAAACAGGCATTATTTGCCCTCAATTTTAGAATTCATTCATACATTTATGTATTATTCAAAATTATTAGTCAATATGTGTTCTACAAAGATCACACCAGTCTTTCACCTTTCATTTGATACCTTAATTATCAAAATATATTCTACATTGTTTGATTTTTACACCTATGCGTAAGAACTATTTTGTATTAAATATGTACCACTTTCCAGTATGTTCCTTTTTGACCGGGCCCGATTTGGTGGTGTTACATCTTACAAAGTCTATACCAATCATTTTGCAAAGAATTCCGCTCAAAACGGTGCTAGGGGCAGTCTTTAACTTGTAGTGCAGTGATTTTGTTTTTACTCCGTGTTGATGGTCTTACTGTGACTTAGGTGTTTTTATGTCATATAGCTTTTCAACTCGTTCGGTTCTTATACATTCTCGGCTTTCAAATATTCGGCTTTGAGCGTTCCTGATAAAGGTAAATCCAGAGAAGCGCTTCGGACGCATGAAATTATTTTAACATGTTGTTTTCATTTTTTAAGTGTGTGATAATCAAGAGACTTATACCAAACCGGTATGATGCGTAGGTATCACTAGTGATTTGGAATCTTTTCACCCTCTAGTTTAGTTAGGTTCTTGTCCCTCAACCTTACGTTTTCATTGTAAAGATTTGTATACCGTAATTTATTCCTTCTGTGCTTTGTTTTGTTTTGTCTGTTTTTCTTCGACATGTGATTTTTTATGGGCTCTTGTTATCTTCTCCATTTTTTTTAAATACAACATTTAAGTACTAGTAGTAGTCATTTATAACACTCCTTATTTCAGTAACATTTAAGAAATAATTCATTGCAGCCGTAAATTTTTTTTCATTTAACCATGCATGGGTTAGGCATTTATATTCGATTATTTTATCCGGAGCGATAGCGAGGGGTAAAATATGAATTTAAATGCCCAAACCCATGCTTAAATGAAAACAAACCTACGGCTGCCAAGAATTATTTCAATTCTAATAGGACAAATTCTGTTATTTTGTCAACCGTGGAAGCCCTATACACACGATGCTGTTTTGGCTGTTCCGTTTTACCCCACATATTAGAATGAATTTCATTACAGCATGGACATGGACACATGGTAATTAAATGTTAACGTGTGTATCACTGGCTGTCGACTTCACGCAATTACAGTATGTCAGGGGCCTCTCACTGGGGATAAACATAATTACTTTCTTTACACATGTCTATTCATAAAAGTTTTTGCATGAAAGTTTTTAGGAATTTGTTTTGTATACATTTATATACTCCCAACAAAAAGTTTCTTTTGACAGAATGAGTGTATTCAGAGGTGATATCACCAAGAAATCGAGAAAAAAAAAGTTATGTTTTTTCTTCCACAAACGTTCTGTCGCTCCTTAAAAAAAATAAGAAAACATTTATTCGTACGATTTGGTGTAGAGTAACCTACGATCAACTTTCATACTTAGATTATTTTTGTTGGTAATAAAAACTCCGGACCTTCATAAAAAATCATTTTAGTCCCTGGGCTGATATTGTTTTGTACGGAACAAATTTGAAGTCCCATTGAAGGCTCCAACGATCAGATTTTCGTGAACATTTTAAAAATATTATTCTAAAAAACCTAACGTGAAAATATCAAGAAGCATATGAATTCGGTCTTGTGTTCAAAATTTACGTTGATTGGAGTCGGAGTAGCTTTTGTGAAAACATTGATATTTAATAGATTTTGTTATACCTGAACACGTTTAACAAAAGTTACGGGATCTATATTCTTTTATTACAAATTAAGCAGGTAATTTCAATGAATTTGGTCTTACTCAACTATTTGTTTTTTTGTTATTTGAGGATGCATATTTGAGTCAATTCTGCATTAACGTTTATTTGCAATTTTATTCATGTTGATTTCAAAAGCCTCTTGCATAGCCACTCCCTCCCTTATTTTAACTGAATCAGGAATGGTCGCCTCTTACAATTTAAAATTGTACTCACTTCCTTTTCGGTTTCTGTGTTTTAATATATATCCATGAATTTAATGATAGGTTCACAATACATCTGTTTTGGAATAATAAATCATGTGCACAAGACTAAACTGGTCAACTGTAATACCAGATCATGTACAGGTTATTATGTCAACATAACAGTAACAGCGTAATATTAACCTTTAAACTGGGTGCACTCGTTTAGTTATTGTAGTATAAAAGGTATTGTGAACATATTTAATTCATAGATAGATACTGAAACACAAATTAAAAAAAATGAAGTACAATTCTAAATTGAATCGCTGTGATCCGTCTATTCGTTTTTTTTCATATCAACGGAACAGCTGCTTTTAACAGGTTGGGCACATTTCCTTATACGGACATGTATTATTTAGCATACTTATGCCCCCGTCAATGCATGTATTAGTGTTTGTTTACAAATAAAGCATTTTTTTTATATTTTGGTGATTTACCAATCCATTGAATGATTTGCAATGCATTATGAACTACTTGTCTATAACTGACACACTACTTAATTTTTCACTTATTGCCAGACAGAATTTTTCTTACTTTTTTCTCCCGATTACTTGGTGATATCACCTCTGAATATACTCATTCTTTCGAAAGAAACTTTTTGATGTGAGTATATAAATACATTCAAAACAAATTTCTGCAGGCATAAAAATTTATTTTATGAATGGTCATGTGTTGAATAGTAATTATGTATATCCCCATTGAGAGGCCCCTGACATACTGTAATTGCGTGAAGTCTTTGTTGTCGACAGCCAACGATATCATTTAAATATCAGGTGTCGATGTCCACACTGTTATGAAAATCATTCTATAATATTATGATATAGTATTATACAATAATAAATTAAAAAAACTCACATTCTTTACATAAATGTGTTCTTTTTGTGTTATTTTATTACATTCTGAGGCGTACAAGAAGCCTTAAAAAACGCCCAGTGGTTACATTTGAAGCCGGAAGTATGACGTCACCATGTTTAGTTGCCAAAGCAGATAACATCATGCATTTCTCGGGATTTTCGTTTTATGACATTTAAATCGAAGTAATAACTGAAATGGACCAATTTGTTTATTTTGCATCAGAATAGAGATAACCGTATTGTATTCGAAGCTTGGTCTACGTAAAACGTGGGATTTACTGTCAAAAATTGAGTTTACCTGGTCGTATAAATATGATGGGCGTAACGCGGAACAGCCAATTTTGTGTATCTATGCGTCTGTGCTAAATGTAGATATACTGTGATTATACTGTTTGACGATATATAGGTCGTCATATTAAAATTTTTAATTAAATTTATAAAATTTAAACATTTCTCATTGTAACATGTGTTTTATTTTAATTTTTTTTAGATTTTACCTAAAGGTCTTGTCCGTGCACACGTTGAGGGTTCAAAAGAAGAAAATAAAGTTAAAAATCGTTTCCTCACAACATGGCCTTGTATGTTGAAATAATTAAAAATTATGAGGTCTGACAAATTGGCAATTGAAATAAATGAAATTTTTAACCACTCTAGCTATAATCAGATAATATCAAATTCCTTCTGTGCACCTCAGACAGTGTGTCCGATAAAAAGAAGAGACATACGTCGGTCAAATCTTAAAGTGTTTAGTTTTTAACTTGTTTTGTCATTTTCCGCTGCTTTAATCTGTCAAGTCTGACAACATTCACAAAATGTTCCATGGATTCACAATTAATGTTAACATAACACTGTAATTTTGGTTTAATGATAAAAAACTAATACAGCATAATTGACATTAAATTGAATGTATACAACCATATCTTATTGTGTTACCTGCTTTGTTCATCTACATTTTGTAAGCATGTTATATATTTATTTGGGATAATACAAAATTTATTTTCATATATTTTTTTGTAGATGATCATTCACGTATTGTGCTGAGAGGAAACACAAAGACTGATTATATTAATGCTAGTTACATTGACGTAAGATTTGAAAATGAAATATTTCTATTGTACAATGTATATCGGCATATATCTTAAACTTACACATACATTTGTACAAATATCTTTAAATGCAAATGTAGGATCTTTTACAATATTGTTATAAGAAAAACAAATCCTTCTTAAAATGCAGTTTTTCTAATGTGTTTTTAAATTCTTCTTCCTTATCTTCCTTTGAAATTATGACACAACAGTAACTTTACCTAGGCAATATTGTCATCAATTATTTATTTATTAATCTTTATATTATTTAATATTTTTTTTAATGATCACGGAAATTAACTGTCATATTTTTTTATTTAAACTTTTAAAAATTAAAGGAATTTTAAATATGGATATTCATATCACATATATTGCCATTGGTTCTTGTGCTTTGTAGACTACATAGACTGTTGTTAATACTTATGAGCATGTGTTTTTCAGAATTATGACAAAGAAAAGGCCTATATAGCAAGCCAAGGTTTGTAAATATTTAGTTTACAAATGATAAATGTTTTTAAAACTTGTATTTTACACAAAGTGTTAACGATAATATTATATAACAGCTTTAGAAAGAAACATGTAACCGTTGGAAATTGTCCTGAGCACGTTATTATTATACTCTTGTTTTTCAATCTGATATTGTGAGATTTTACATTGATTTAATGCTTTTTATAGTTTAAAACAAAGCTAACTCTTTTCAATGATGTTGATGACCTCTAGATGTTTAAGTTTCTTATGTGTTTGTCGATGGGTAACTGTGTTAAACATCTTATATTTAAGTGTTGAAATATATTTGCAAGCGAAAACAAACATTCCAAATCCAGATATATTTCTTTGTCTTGAAATAGTTATAAAAGAGAGGCGAAAGATACCAAAGGTACATTTAAACTCATAAGTCGAAAATAAACTGACAACGCCGTGGCTAAAAAAGAAAATGACCAACAGACAAACAATAGTAAACAAAACACAACATAGAAACCTAAAGACTGAACAACACGAACCCCACCAAAAAAACTGGGGGTGATCTCAGGAAATCCGGAAGGGTAAGCAGATCCTGCGCCATATGTGGCACCCGTCATGTTGCTCATGTAAGTAAAAACCCGGTGATTAGTCTGATTAATTTTCTTTAAAGTGTCATTTCAGATATAATGGATTTAGGATAAAAAAAAGGAATGGTATACAAAACTTTATATGACAGAAAATCATGTTTTGAGATTTGATATTGTCCAAAATGATAAGGTTCTAATTATATAATGGTGCAGGTCATTTATTGTATGATCAAGTGTGCAAGATATATATATTTGTTATGTTTTCATGGTATCTCCATGTCACAACGAAGTTGTTTCTATTATTGAAATCATGCAAACAATTGCTTTATATTTTTATCTGAAAATCAGAAAATGGATTTACAAAAAAATGTAAGCATTAGATTTCAAAACCAGCATTTAAAATAAATTTGCGATGCCATTTTTCCAAAACGTTTTCCATACTTGCCTCTAATGTTAATAGATTTTTATTTTTATAAATCGTAATTTACCTTAAAGGTCCAAAGAGTAATACCGTCAGAGATTTCTGGCATATGATATGGCAGGAAAACGTTGGCAAAATTGTTATGGTCACACAGCTGAAAGAAGGAAGAAGGGTATCAAATTGCATTATCACATTAATCATATAAAATCAATTAAATAAAGTTTAACACATTAAATATTATTAAGCATTTTCATAACAATCCGATCGAAAACTGGGCTTTACAGGTGTTTTTGAAAAGCTATTCTATCATACATTGCTATACAGAACATACCGCACCGGCTGTCTTGTGGTAGCTTGCTCGCCCCGAGAGTCGGGAGTCGTAGTTCCAATTCCCAGCCGGGTCAAACCATAGAATTAAAAATTGATATTTGCTACTTCTCCACCATGTACGTGACATTAAAGTGTTAAAACAAAGACTGGTCTGCTCGGAGTCAAAATAATGTGACCGGGTAAGATAAGACAACGTCCTTGAAATTGTTACCTTGTGGACTTGCACGTTAAACATCCGGCTCAGTATATGTCATTCTAGTACAAAGCAGAGTTCATCATCGTCATCATCATCATCATCATCATCATCATCATCATCATCATCATCATCATCATCATCATCATCATCATCATCATCATCATCATCATCATCATCATCATCGTTAATGTTAGTTACTTTAAAAACTGTCTTCTGATATTATTGAATGAAGTACAACTGAAGTTTAACAAATGAGAAGAATAAACGAAAGAGAAACTTAACTTTGCATATTAAAACTGGAAAAGAAAGAATTTTGTGGAGGTTCGAAATTATTATTTTTAGTTATACAATGTTATGCATTTCCAATGTTCATGAATGTTCTTCAGGAAAAATGTATACAATATTGGCCTGTTGCAGTTAATGACCCAATGGTAGTAGAAAATTATCGACTTACAATGACAAAAGAAAAAGAACACACTCTTTATGTATACAGACTGATAACTATCTCCAACAATATAGATACGGTAATGATCACAACTTTCGTAAATTAAAATTAATACGATAAAAGAGAATTGATGTTAAACAGAAAATCAGAAATAATCGTTATTACAACTGCGTTATGTCGCGTCTGGCATATTAAACTATAATCCTGCTACCTTTGATAACTATTTACACCACTGGGTCAATGCCGCTGCTGGTGGACGTTTCGTCCCCGAGGGTATCACCATCCCAGTAGTCAGCACTTCAGTGTTGACATGAATATCAACTATATGGTAATTTTTATAAATTTCCTGTTACAAAACTTTGAATTTTTCAGAAAACTAAGGATTTTTTCATCCCAGGAATAGATTATCTTAGCCGTATTTTGCACAACTTTTTGGAATTTTGGGTCCTCAATGCTCTTCAACGTTGTACTTGTTTGGCTTTATAACTATTTTGATCTGAGCGTCACTGATGAGTCTTATGTAGACGAAACGCGCGTCTGGCGTATTAAATTATAATCCTGCTACCTTTGTTTACTATTATGTTGAAGAGATTTAAAGAATTCAAATAAAAGCAAAATAAATGTAGTTAAAACGTATTTGGTTCCTGAGAATTAGTATTAGTTTTTACAATTTAAATGACTTAAGTTAACTTAATTCTTTTATACACTTCTCATTCTGAAGCACTGATTCATTCAGTTTTAGTAAAGATTTCAATATCTAGATTCTCCCTCTAGTAGTGGCAGTTATTCATTTTGTTCGGTCTCGTTCCTTTTTGAGGTATTGTTTGTTGCGTTGTTTTTACTCTTCCTAATCGACTTACGAGATTTTTACATCGGTAAACTACTGTAGCCTTAAATTATAAAATGGTATGTCTAGCTTATTAATCACGCATAAATGTTTTCTGTTATCCCTCGTTTTTCACACATTTCTTTAAATTGTTAACGTATCATTATTTTCAGTTAGTTTTTTATCGACGAATGAAAGTTCAATTATTTAATTTAGGCAATTCGTAAATAATGACGACTTAATTTAAAATGAACACCTAATCTTTTTATAGTTTTCAGTACTGTTACAGCACAGTCTCGGGTTAGTGGAGGGTTTTGCGCCAGCAAACATGTTTGACTTTGACACATTATGCATGTGCATGTCTAAAGTCAGGAGCTGTAGTTCAGTTGTTGCCGTATATTGCTGTATATCATATTTGATTTGGTCTTTTTTGTACATAAACCAGGCCGTAAGTTATCCCGTTTGAACTGTTTTGCATTTGTAATTTCGGAGCCTTCTATAGCTTACTATGCGGTATTGATTTTGCTCTTTGTTGAAGCTGTATGTTTACCTATAGTTGTTAACTTCTACATCGTTTGGCCTCTGATGGAGAGATGTCTCATTGGCAATCATATCCCATCTTCCTATTTTTTTTTATAATAAAGCTTTAAGTTCTTTGAAAAGTAGTACCATAGTTTTAATTGCGTAATCTAATACCATAGAATGTACGATTTTGGTCCACTAGTGTCCTGCAATAAAATCTATTTCAAATATATTCTATTTTTGCAGACCAAAATCACATATTCAACGAGTTTATTTTGTGAATAAATATCATATTTTATGATTATGTTTGTGGTTGGATTTGATAAAAATACATGTTAAACTGGAATAATCTAGAAAACATCTTCTTATTCATACAGAATGAATACCCAATTTACAAAGTTTGACTTAGTCTCAGTTTTTCTTATCCAATCCTTTATGACACGAATAAATGAAGACAACTAACTTATAAATATAAAAAAGGAATGTGCGGCAGAGTAGCAAATTATATATGTGTCCTTTAACTGATTAAAAAACAGCTGTTCGAAACCACAGTTGCTAATCGCCAAGTTTAAAGAAATGTCAGTTTGCTTTTTAGTGATTATGACTATTTTTCTTTTACTTTGGAGTTGTTTGCTTGAAAACAAAAACTTTGAAGTTGTTTGCTTAAAACAAAAACTTTCAAATTATTTTTCATACCTTTTCATTTTTTTTTCTCAATTTGTTTAATGGTAAAATGCGGCATCTTAAACCGTGTTCCATAGTTGCACTTTTTAGCTCACTATGCATGAAGGGCCAGTGAGAGCTAGTCTAATAGTTTGCCGTATGTCGTACGTTATCGTCTCTTTTAACTTTAAAACAAATCTTATCCAATAAAACTAACAGGTCAATTGCAACCAAGCTTTGTCGAAATCATCCAAACGTGTGTAAGATAAAACCACCGTAAAACCAAGATTGCCATTATTGCTAAAATAGACAAAAGGGATGTCATGCAAGTATTGACTTATACCTTAAAACCCTTATAAATAGAGAAAATCAGACAGGGGCAAAATTGTGCCTTTAGATTAAACCATCTAGGAGTGATTGCCCTTAATGGATGATTTTACGTCGTGTTTGCGTTTTAGACTATTAATTGTAAAACATAATTGAGAAACCTTTATTTACAAAAATTATAACTAAAAGGCGGAACATAACCCATTTTTGGCATTTTTGACAGAACATATTATAGAAATTTTAAACAGCAACACTAATCAGTAGGACGATAAATGAAAATAATTCAATTGACTGAAATCATCAGTTGACTCCTTATATAAATAGCAAAATAACAAAAATACCGAACTCCAAAGAAAAAATACAAAACGCAAAGTCCCTTATCAAATGGCAAAATGAAAAACTCAGACACATCAAACGAACGAAAAACAACTGTCATATTCCGAACTTGGCACAGGCATTGCCTTATGTAGAAAATGGTGGATTAAACCTGTTTTTTAGCTAGCTAAACCTCTCACTTGTATGGCAGTCGCAAAGAATTCCATTATATTGACAACGATGCGTGAACAAAACAAACAGACACAATAGGTATAAATGTCAAAAATAAAACCAATTTTGATCTAAAAAGGTCATTGCGATCTGAGCAGCTTTTAAAAGACTAAACAATAAATTAGATATGTCATTTGCAATCTTTCAGTTAATTTTCAGACTTATCCACTGCGATGAATTCAGTACTGTTCAGACAATTCGCTTGCAGTCAATCAAGATCTGTTCAGTCTGTGTTCAGACTGTCCAGAAGTTGTTATTTACCTGCACACACCAACAACATACTGAATTGTCTGAACAACTACTGAACAGTACTAAATTGACGGCATGAAATGTGTCTAAACAGTACTGAATCTACCGCAGTGGATAAATATAAAAAGAGACCGAAAGACTGTTGATGACTTAATAAATTATTTTACAGACTTTTCAGATAATGATAAGATCAAACTGATCTTTCGAGACTAAAATTCATTTACTATCACCATAGTGAAAAAGAACAAATTGGAATTTTATGTATTTTTAGTTTTATCTTTACCTTTTACAACTGGATAGCAAACTGATTTTACGACATTGTATGTTTGATTGATTTCTGATACAGGTATAAACTTTTTATAAGTTATAACGTTAGTTCGAAAAATATTATTCCTTTGCTGTTGGTCTTATTGCTGTCTCAACCACGCAATTTGAATGTCCCCTCCGAGCCTTAACCTCCCTTTTGCTGTGTTTCTTGTTGTTAAATCTTTAGTTTTCTGTTCAACGTTTTCCGTTTTCCCCTATGATCATGTAGTTTTCCTTGCTTTCTTAGACTTCATGTGTATATATTTTCCTTTAAATATTATGTTTTGTCACAATATCAGCCGTTATTTTAGAACAAAAGAGAAAGAAAAGTTCACCAGTATCATTTCACCCAATGGCCAGACCACGGTGTTCCTGACAGCATCAAGTTGGTTCATTTTTACAGGAAAGTGAAACGTGATCACTGTGATGCAAATGGACCTATGGTTGTACATTGCAGGTATGAATATGACATTAAGTGATTATGTTTTAATCTTTATGATTCAGCTCTTAGAACATTTAATAAAAAAACCATAACATTAAACCATAATTGAGCAATACATATTTATTTAGAAACTTGATCAAAAACCTTTTTCAAGATTCTAAACTAGTATTAAGTATCAATTTGAGTATTGTATTTTTTTGTATATTTGTCTAGACCAGTATTTCTATAAACACCCTTTTACTAAATGAATTAAATATATTTGTAGAGGAAACTTTAAACTATGAATGTAATTATGATAGATTGCAATTTGCGATGTCACTGGTACTAATTGTTTTGTATTGATTGTCATTCGATATATGAATTTTTAGCGCTGGACTTGGAAGAACAGGAACATTTATTGCTATAGATGCAATATATCAGCACGGCAAGAAAGTTGGTTACGTTGATATTATGGAGTATGTTCAGATGATGAGGAAAGACAGAATGAATATGATTCAAACACATGTATGTAATACTTTTGCATTGATACCGATTTTGAGTGTCTATGCCAAATTTGAACAGTTGGTTACATATAACAAATGAAAACAACATTTATAATTTGCATGCGTCCGAAGCACTTTTCTGGATTTACCATCATCAGAAATGCCCAAAGCCAAATATGTGTAGGCCAAGGATGTGTAAGAACCGAAACAGTTGAAGAGCTATATGACCAAAAGGGACCTTAAATACTAGCCAAATTTATCTAAGGTCAACTTTGACTGAGGGAGTTGAAATTTTAGTTTCTTTATAATTTCTAAATTTATAAACGGGCAATTTAAGTAAGGTTTGCTATAAATCATGTCCGATTAGAAGTACTAATTACTGAACAGATGATACCCTCTGAGACTGGTTGTCCTTTAGAAGCGTTATCGACCCATGCCAGTGCTGTAAAAATGTACACAAAACTTCATAAAACTTATGCGTCCGAAGCGCTTTTCTTGATATTTACCTTCTTCTGGAACGCTCAACGCCCATCGAATATTTGAAAGCCAAAGATGACCTTAGGGCTTTTCCCTAGATTATTGATGTTTAAACTTTTTTGGGGAATACTAGTATTCATATCCGTAAAATAATTGTATTTCTTGTAATTAAAATTATGCAGGAACAGTATGAGACAGTTTTTGAAGCACTACTAGAACTATTTACAGTACCAGAAACGACAATTCCAAAGAATGATTTCTGTAAATATTTAGAAGATCAGGAATGTAAGACATTACCAAAAAACCAGAAAGTATACAAACGGGAGTTTCAGGTAAGACGATAAACAAATACATTAGTACACTTTATATGATATCCGTTTGAAAAATACTTAATACTTTCGTAAAAGTAGTTCTGAACATTAAACAAAGAAAATGATGGGTGACTGTTAAAAAACTAATATGCATACACATCGTAAAACTTTCAACAAAGGATAAATGACAGTACCGAAAGCAAAGCTAGTTCTATAGAACGTGAAACAATCAGTCCATCTTTAACACATATCAATAAAATAAAACAAAAAAACAAATATACTGCAAACTATCAACGACAGACAAAATGCAAGTACATTAATAATATGCAAGATAACACATATTTAGGTCCTCAATATTTCCATTTACACGAGGCAGCAAAACCATAAAAAAGGTTATAAACAGGTATGAATATGTAGGTAGATTAGTATTCTGAACAAAAATATCCAACAAAATAAGAATGCTGATCAATTTCAATACGCAGTTGCTGCAAGCTGGTAAAACACGAGTTGTGGGTAACAATCAGTGTTTTGACGAATTAGCCATAAAACCATATTCAATCCAAATAAATATATTTGATCAATCAAGTTTAACTAGTAAGTACTCTTTAATTGTTAACAAATGCTATTTTGAAGTAACACGTATAGTAAACAACAATCAATCAATAAATTTTTTAGGTTACAAGAATTTTATATCATTGATGTCTTATTTCGATGTTTAATTCAATATAACTGTATTTTGAATAAGACACTAGAATCTCTGCGGCTATCGTATCCTGCATCTAAATTTACCGCTGCAAACTTGAAAGAAAATATATCCAAAAATTTGGTAAAGAATATCCTTCCACGTAAGTACATTTCCTTTCGTTTTTTCTAGGTATACTTGTTAACAATATATGCCTCAAGTTAGTCATCTTTTGACATAATACTATTCAATTTAAAGGAGTATTTTTACAGTGACAAAGTTACAATTTATTTGTATACTTATCATTCAATGACATGTGTATACCACCTTTGTATGTATCGCTTCTGTTGCACATTATGGCAATATAAGTATTAAAAATAATATATGATTTTGAAATTTGCAAAGTACAAAAGAGAGAAAAAAAAAAGCGAAAGATAACAAAGGGCATCCAAAACTCAACGTCGAAGACAAATTGACAACGCCATCACTAAATAAAGGCAACAGTAGTATACCGCTGTTCGAAAACTCATAAATCGATAGAGATAAAAACAAATCCGGGTTACAAACTAAAACTAAGGGAAACGCATCATAAAAACGAAACAACGAAAAGACGAATAAGTCAAAAAAAAAAAAAAAAAATTAGATAGAAAAACTAAAGATTGAACATTACAAATCCCAGTACAAATAACACATGTAACAGTACAATAAAAAATATCAACTTTAAGATAATGGAAATATTGCATAAAAATAAAATTATCTTTCTTAGTGATTGACTGTGTGCATCAAAATAAAAAATGCAGAATTTAAACATCTGAGTTCACACCATTTTTTGTCGGGGGTAATGTTACTCATTCTGTAGTTATTTCTGTAATGTGTTGTTTGTGTTTTATCGTGTTTTCTTTTGTTGATGGTTTAAAGTGTTTGTTTTTATTGCCCCAATGGTATCGTATCTCTTTTTTTTATAGGACCAACACTATTTTTACTATATTTCTTCGTGATTTTCAGGATGACAAGAGTATGTTAAAAAAGGCCCTAATATGGCGTCTATTTCAAGCTTAGTTTTCAAATATGATAATATGGCAATAATCACAATATATTATTGTTTTAACAATGACAAGATAGGAACCAGGTATTTTTGTTTGACAATTGTCGTATCTTAGCTTTTTTTATGACGTCGTTATGAGCATAAATCTCAGTTTTTCACAAAAGTCAATGATAATTCAAAATCATTAGCGTCTTAGGAAATATATATATTTAGCGCATGCGTCGACAAAAAATATAATTTAACGTTATTTAAGAAATAACAAACGAACACTACATGTATCTAATTTCAATATTTAGTTGTTGATCCTTGCGCTCTCTGTTTCCAATAATAAATAATTGGGGTTGAAATCCAGAAGATTTTTATTTTTTTTTAATATTTCTATATTTTAGACCTTAATGTGATGTAACTGGCAAAACTCTGAATGGGAAAATATCGACAACAAATAGCTCTGTTTCACTTTTTTACACATGTATGCATCAATTTGAAATATTTTTCATATTGAAATAATGGATTGAATAACTGGGGTCAGAAAGGGCCCTTTCCAAACCTATTTCTTTAGTTTGCTTCAAAATTTAATGTAACATTTTATCAAAATTCTAGTCAATTACATCTGCTGTGACACGATTAAAAATAATCAGAAACAAAACCTTAGGTAAAAGTACAAAATGATTTTTTTTTTGTTGCATTGACAAGAATCCGAATTTGGACCAAGAATTCATTTACAAAAGCAACAGGATAAGTTCTTGAGCATATGCATAATTGATTTTGTGATGTCATGCTTCAAAGGGATTTTACAACACATGGAAAGCACTTTACATTGCAATAACGGTAAAACAGATAAAAACACCTTGTATAAGCAAGACTAAAAAAATGTATCGTATCAAAAAACGATCTCGGTAACGAAAAGCAAGTTCAAAGTACTGCACCTTCTTATATAAATTCATGCCGCTGTTTACTCTAATATCAGTGGTGCATGCGTTTTCTCTTTCTTTTGTCTATATGATGGTTTTTCTTCCAACCGACAAGTTGTTTTCGCCTATAAGAATAGAATTGATGACCTCATCTATACCGTTTGGAACCTTGGTGAAATAGATTCCTTTCACATTTTGTAAGAAGCAACTCACTATCTTAGAAGTCATGATAGGAAACAAAGACCCTGGAATATAGTTTCCACCTCACCGTGATAATACTTACCATTAAGAATTTTAAAATAAGATCTGGTATAATTGCCATTGAAACAACAATCATCCAAATGACTTGTTGTATGCAACTATTAGTCATCGTACGACCTGCATAAGAAGCAAAACCCATACCGTATAGTTAGCTTAGAAGTTTGTCTGATTATGTTTTTATAATCTTCAAGATGACAACAAGATATTTGATACAAGATATCGAACAAGTAATATGCTTTTGAAATTCACAACTCAGAGGGAAACACCTGAGCTATTGTCATTACTTGGCGTATACACTGCAATGCTGAAACTATAGAACAAGCATGTTGATACATTTTTAGAATGTGTTACTTTTACAGATGCGAGATTTTTACGTATACAATTCTTAAAGGATTCCTAACAATGCATATATTATACAACTGAAATAAGCAAAATGTTTACATTTTTTCCAAAAAATTATGACTTTTTCTTAAGATATTACAAAATTATGCAATTAGGAGTTACAGATAATGTTTTGGCTTCATTCGATTTTATTCAAATATTCTGTAATGCTTATTACAAAATAATGTACACCTCCATTCGTGATGTCCCACTGTCAATAAACAATGGTCGTGTATACTAGTATAAGTATGTACGTCCTTATCATACATTAGGAAATATAAATCTATACATGAAATTGTTAACTAAATTTTGTTAATTACGATTATGCAAATACTCAGGTGTAAACGTGACACTATACCGAAAACACAACATAGAAATCTAAATACTGAGCACCACGAACCCCGCCGAAAACCGGGAGTAATCTCATGTGGTCCGGAAGGGTAAGCAGATCCTGTTCCACATGTGGCACCCGTCGTATTGCTCACGTAAGTACAACCCTGTGATAAGTATAATTCGGAAGATCTAACTCAGGGAAAAAGAGGACGGGATTCTGGAAACGACGATTGGAATACCACTTAGAAATTAACGAGGCTTGGAAAAACTTATTATTTCACTGACAAAGGCGAGGTCAAATGCCAAGAAAATGTATTTTCTTCGCAATTGTAGCATCGTCATTTGAGCGATCCAAATTCCCCTGAAATATGTTGAGATAACAGTATGAGTCCAACATTTTCTTTAGGATTTTATTTTACTTTTTCTAGATCTTCATTGTTTTGAGTACACAACACATCTGTCTATATTGGATTCACCCCTTTCAATATCCTCAGAAGTCTTGAATCGGCTTGTGAGTGCAAGAGGTCGTTGGTTCGATCCATTTAAGTTTGACTACTGATTACTTTAAGCAATTAGCAGGTGTTCATTAATCAATAGTTTCTTTCTCAACATTTTGTAGATGACAATTTTCGACCATACCTTATGTCATATGGAAAAACAAGAAATGATTACATAAACGCAGTTATTATACCTGTAAGTAATACAGAGGTATTGAAAAGAAAAGAATATTGACAACTTCGAAGCAAAACCAGTTAAAATATCAAGTTTTAATTACTTAAAATGATTGTTATGTCCATTAGGCTTTACCCGATCTTTTCAACAAAATATATGATGTTATTTTTTAGTTGTAATGCATAATGTTTAAATTATTTTGACTGTGTCGGTTAAAACATTAGGCTGCTAAAACTAATAACACGGTAGCTATATTGCCTTACTGTGTCTTACTGTGGAATTTGATGTGACTGTCGTACAAGTGAGAGGTTTAGCGCTATAAAACCAGATTCAGTCCACCATTTTCTACATAAGAAAATGCCTGTACCAAGTCAGGGATATGACAGTTGTTGTCCATTCGTTTGATGTGTTTGTGCTTTTGATTTTGGCATTTGATTAGGGACTTTCCGTTTTGAATTTTCCTCGGAGTTCAGTATTTTTGTGATTTGACTTTCTACATTTTATTTCAACGTTTTCTGTTTGCTTGGGCACCCCTTTTCTCCTTGTAATTAAAGAAAAATTGGATGTTATTCCTTCAATTGTTCTTTTGAAGTCTAATGCTTTTTATTCATTTTCAGGGATACAGAGAGGAAAGCCGATTCTACGTAACACAATGTCCTATGAAAGACACTGTTGTGGATTTCTGGACAATGGTATATGACCATAATTCCAGAATCATTGTGTTATTGGACCAAGTTTACAAAGTAAGTTTGTTTTACATCTCTTGTCGTTGAACGTTTGCTTTGTCAGACATCTTTTGCAAATATTCTGTCTATTTTGTAAGTACGGTGATTATAAATGTCTGAGATTTAAACAAGACATAATAAATATAACTATAATTGTAAAACAAAATCCATTGTTCATGACTTTGCCAAAAAGCACATAGACATTGTTGTTACAATCGTCTTCTTTCTTCTCGGTATTATCATATCCTTTCTTTTTAAATCTATATTGATCATTGTCATATTTTGAACAAAGGACACGACAACTAATTTGGACATCGGTTCAGGGTTTCTATGTTAAATTATCCTTCATCATGTTAAAAAACACTATGCCTGAGATGTCTTTTGAACACCAAAGATGCATTGTTTTGTTTAAGAAGTAGTTCGTTTATAGATTAGTTATCTTACATTGACTAATATAACAGCTCCCTAAGGCATGTTGACCCTTGTAATTGTGTTTATGCTTTTTTATGCTCGGCAATGTATACGTATTATGAAACGTCACTTTTAGTTTCAAACAACTGATGAATCGTTCATGTTCACTGAACGATATTATACATATCTATGATATGATTAAAATTGCATGCATGGTAATTGTGCAAAGGTTACAATGCTGAATGCTTTTTAAAAGTAAATGAAATCAACAATACATCAGGTTATCTCGCTTAAGTATTTACAACGACAATCAAGAACGACATAGTACAAGAAAATGGTTTGCTCTTTTCTCTTTTTTGTAATCAAATTAAGAAAAGGATGACAATCTTTCTTCTTTATATTGGATACCGCAATATTACACAAAAATCCATATCAGCAACGTCACAACAGCTAGTGCATAATGAACTCTTTTCTGATATTTATGCAATGATTCTTTTTACAGTCTGATAGTAAGAAGAAGATCTAAGACCATTTTGCAAAGGTGAAATCTACCAGCTATATCAATCTGATAACGATGCTAAAAAATTTGAGCGATAAACTGAATTACATTAAATGGAGTCAATATATATTTGCAATATCAATTAACTTTTAAGATATACGTATGATGTCCATTCACTAAATAGTTCTTATTTTTCGATGATCACTAGTATAACACCCCATTCTTCCAATTGAACTCCAAATTCAGAATTCTACACTATACAGTTTATCAAATATTTTTTTAAAAATTTATTTGGAACATCTGCATTACAGATGAGCAAGCATTGTTGCATCTTTCGAATGAATAATGCTATTTTTCCTACCTTCGATTGTGGCATCACCGCCTACGACTTGTCAACTAATTTTATCTTGCTATGAGCAACCATGTGAGTACCCCTGAGTAGATCTAGAACAGGATGTGCTTACCCTTCCGGAGCGCTGACTTTGCCCGCGTTTGTATTGGACGGTGGGGGAGGACGGAGTGTTGGGGGTGGTGTTTATCAATGAATAGTTTTAGACGTACTGACTTATATACTCTTGTTTGTTTATGTCGGTTTGTCGGTTTTTAGTTGACCGATGTGCCCTCTGTGTATCGTCTCTCCATTTGTAAATCAGAGTATAAAACTTATTGTGGACGCAATTAAAGTCCAGCAATTTCGGATGTTTTCACTGTTTATGTCAGAACTTTTTGTATGCCATTATACCAATATTTTCATATTGGATTTTGCTTGGAATCTTAATGTGTACTTTTATTTATATAAGAACGCAAAGTTGTGGTTAGGAAGATCGGAAATGCTAGCGATTGGTGACTTTAGTATACTTCTAGAAGAAGAGCATAATGTGGATGAGATGAAAATTGCTTTGGATTATAAGGTAAACAATATTGATTCTGTAACTTTGAAATTTAAACGGTTTATTTGAGTTGAACGACTTTATATTTATAGATTATCGTTGGTTATCTTAACGAGATTGGTTTTCTCGCTTGAGCCGGTACGGCGAAAGTGAGAAAAGCAATCGAGTTGAGATGACCAATGATGATCTGTTTATCGCTATTTAACCTATGAAGACGTTGTTAATTTCCTTGACACGGCACGTGTTCCCTTAGTTTCTAGCGATGATTTTCATATCACTCGACTCCGTTTTCATATCACTCGACTCCGCTGAGAACGGAAACTATCAGTCAGCAAGATCAAAGGAAAAATTCGTTAAATAGCGATATTTTGGATGTCAAAATAAGGAAATGTGCTATGATGGCCAGTGAGACAACTATCCACCAGAGATCAAATGACGTTGATTTAAGGCATTCCTTTTAAACTTTTACTGAAGTTTTAAAACAAAACATTTAAATGAATGCTGCCAAATAACACGGTATACGATGTTTAAGAATGGAATTCATTCCGTCTGTTATCATTTTATTGTTGTCTGAATTAAATGAGACCTAATCCCTTTTGCATCTGGAATGCTTTATAATGCCTGTAATAATCATAATCAAATGGGAATCAAACCATTTCACTGTCAATAATAGTTTGACAAGGTTGAAAGATTGGAAATTTGGACTTCCACTCAAAATAACATTATGTTGGACAGGTCAGAAATCATTTTCAATGATAAAATACAAGCATATTTCTTTTATTTCACTGCATCATGTGCACAATAAACCAAAAAAGCATAAAATCAGCTACATTATTTAAATATTTATTGCTCCGTTGATTAGCCTGAAATTGGTTTGATAAGGGATTTCAGTTGAATGAATGTTTTCAATAATAAAATAAATCATATTTGTATACTTTTTTCCATGAATAAGTAAAAACATGGTTTACCGTCGATGCACTTGAGAAAAAAAAAATCCGAGTGAAGCGAATGATCTATATACGAAGTGAAACCTGATGTGTCGTCAGGGTATGCTATACATGCATCAAACGTCATGTGAAAGTAGACTTAGTAAATAAATGACACTGTAGAGAATATGACTTCCAGTTTAGACGACCTATTGGTATCTTATGATGTGATATTACCGCGAAAACATATTTATCGTGTGTTCAGATAGAGATACATTATATTGGTCAACCAAGTTGTAATCTTTACAGAAAGAATGATTTGTGTCGATTTCAGTCGTTCTTCTTCGTTAACTAACTAGAGAAGTTTTGCGTTAGGAGTGCACACCTGTTTATAAAACTCGTATAATGTAATAACACTTTTTATATACTTTTCACTTTGATAATTGGTTCTAAACTTATATGGTCGAACTTTTACAAATGCACACTAGGACCCGAAAAGTAGAAAATTAAAGCTACATCATAGTAAAAAAAAATCATATAAAATCATAATCGGTAAATTCTTTCTTCCAGAAACAAAAGGAAAAAAGAATAATAAATATATTTACGACAAGTGAATGGCAAGGTGCTACACTACCATCACCAAAACTGATGTTGGATCTTCTGACAAGTGTCTTTAATTGTTGGAACTCACAGAAATGTCCAATTACGGTCGTATGCAGGTACTCAAATTGAAAATATAAAAATTTACCCAATTTCACAATAATATTGTTTAACATTGAATGAAAGTTTTACCGGGAACACACGATCTTTGAATTAAAATCAAAGTAAAATTGAACTAGAAACTTCAAATAAAACATAAACAGAGACCATGTGTGTCGATGCAGAAAACATCTGCTAAACAAGCATCACATATGAAACGATACCAATATACAAAGTGTCAAGGATACGGAACCGATAGTAATGTCATATGAGGAATACTAGCATTGTGGAATTGAAGACAATTTCTGATATCTCTAGTAAGCCAGGAAACAGCGACTCTATAACGATTAGCCATTTCGTGGTGGGAAACTTTGAACATGTAAAGTGACAATAGTAGTCGTTCCCCTTCACACCATCGGTGTATATATTGTAAGTGAGGAGTGTATTTCTGTAAGAAAATAAATAGAACACATATGAGTATATTGCATTATATTCTTAATTTCTATATTATTTAAGGATTTCGGGGATTCCATCGCCTTCTGTAACTTATTTATTCAACAGTCAATAATATTTCATTTATTACGTACAGTAGTATTGTACGTACACGTTTCGAAAAGTAATTTAAACATGAAAACAAACACAGCACAACATTTATCATACCAGTAGAAACAGCAAAAACCAGCGTAGAATTATATATAGCCTTAATGCAGAGAATTCCTTTTTTTACTAATAAAATCAGTCATACCTTTTCTGCAACTTTTTAGAGATGGATGCACCAAAAGTGGGTTGTTTGTTGCGCTTTGTCTCATTTTGGACAACATGAAAATAGATGAAGAGGTCGATGTCTTTCAAGTAGTAAGAGACATTCAAACTAGACGTCCAGAATTCTTTAAGAACTGTGTAAGTTTATCTTCGAACTGATATAGGCAACTTTTAATGTATCTACCAAAGACGTAAACCAGTCCAAAAATGGGTTGTTTGAAAACTTTATTACACGACAGTACATTTATAATAAATATTCCAGTTTTAGTTTTTTCTTTTTACCTCACAATTATGAAGTTAATTAACATTTTTATGCTCCCAAAAATGCCGGGAGGTATTGTCTTCTCGTTGTTCGTCCTTTTGTCAGAAACAAATAGTTTACGGAAATAAACAAAAGTTTTCCTTGCGTTATTAAAATGAAACTTAAACAGACAGCAGACAAAGAAACGAATAAAAAAGCCAATCAATTTATTGGAGTCAAGGTCAAATTTAAAAAGATCACTGTAACTAAAAATAGAACTTTATGGAAAATGTTTTTCAGATGTTTTTCTTGCTTGATTGAATTAGATAGAAGATGTAGGAAGGGAAAGACACCTATAGACAAAGTTCAAAGCTCACTGATACTAACAAATAGAAGTTTCCTAAACAAAAATATTTCTAGACAAAAACTTTAGTTTCCCTAGCTTAATTTGGATGAAACTAATTAAGATGGAAGATATAGGGAAGGGTTACACGCCTATTGATATTAGAGTCAATGGTCAGAGTGAGTTCACTGTTTCTAAAATGTTTTTGCAAAAACAGTTTCCAGATGGTTGCTTGTTTTTTCTTATTTGAATGGAATGATGCGCTTACATTTCATAATACCGGGAAGGGTAAGACATCTCTTCATTTTAGACTCATCAGGTCAAGATCACTGTAACTTTTGTGAAAAGCTTGTTTCACTGGAATGATTTTTAAAAGTTAATTCAAGCACTATCTCATTGGCCATTTTGTCCTACACCTGGCGGTTAATCCAATGAAATATTAACACCTGCTCAATTTGATCAAAATGGATGCCTAGAATTTTTTGTTTTGTATAGCGGGGCGCTGGATCAAATTTTGGTATCAATTATGTTTCTGGATACTTGATTCGTGGCAGTTCGGAGAGCATCTGTTAACAGTGACAAAATACATTGGTTAATTATTAATATTTTCCTATGATTATGGTATGTGCTTCTGAAATAACCTTAATTAAATTACCTTCACATCGAGAGTGGAAAGAAAAATACGTTACATATTCAAGCATATAACAAAACAAAACCTATCCTTATAAAATTATATCAATAATACTGAAATATAAAGCTGTAACACTAATTGAGGAAAATAGATTTATAAAGAAAAATACATGTTTACCGAACCTATTACATTGAAACGAAATTAACACTTAATTAAATTCTCCATAAAGTTTCAAAGTTCTTATCTTTACTTTCGGTTCCATGGTAACATATAATTCCATTTTTGTTATTCTTTCGTTTGTAACAGGACCAGTATGAGTATTGCTACAAGTGTATCAAAGAACAACTGGAAGGGGAATCAATGTATGCAAATACTTAATGATGCATGATTTACATCAGTTATGTAAACGTTTTAATGCATATACCATTTCAACTACCGTTTAGCAATTTGAATAAAGTTATTGTTGAACATATAATATGAATATGAGATGGTAGCCATGAATATTGTTACAACTGACAACATTTCAAATTTTACAACTGAAGTAACATAACTCTTGAAAGAAAAATATATGCGTTGTCAAATTTTTTTTTATATTTTTTCATTATCTTAATTCACTTAAGATTAAGTGAATATTTCGCAAAGACATAAGAAAAGAAACTCGAATTTTCAAATTACGCACTAAGACGAACAGAGACAACGGTATACCATATTACGTCCATTTTTGACAGCTATGTAAAAGAAAATTATTTAAAGATTAAAACAATTATGTTTCTTTTCATCCAAACCAGTTTGAACAACGGACACAAAATGAGAAAAATCCATTCCTATAGAAAATGTTATGACCTCAATATGACATGGCTATATTTAATTGCCTTCATAGTGCAGTTGTATTCGTTGACGGTTTTTGTATCATATGAGTGTAATTTATATTTAGTATCCACATGTATATATTTGAGGAAATGCTAATGTGAGACGGATAATCGGCTATTTCAATAAAACATTTTTTAAAGTTACGTTACTATGTTTTTGTTTGCAGTTGTTCCTGTCTTTTCGCCCCTCCAAAATACATTTACATTTTACCATGTTGTATTCACTTCATTTAAATCAATGCTTTGTTTATAATGTTGATGTCCCAATTCAGAATGCTTGCTGTTTGTTCGGTGTCCTTGTTGAATATGATGGACGTCTCACAATGGAAGTTTCACACAGAACTAAATCAGCCATACTTAGGTTCAAATGATTGCTGGAGGGTCGATAAGTGCTGACATATGTGTGCGCAATATATATATATCTACACTTATCAAATATTTATATGAATATTAACAATCAAAATGGCCTAAAACTAAATTATCATAAGCCGAGAACTATTCAGATTACAATTGTGGGGAAATGACACAGGACGAACGGGAATCGGGGCGAATTGACCGTGGTGCGAATGGGAATCGAGCAGAAACGACCTCACTAGTAAACGAATTTTAGTCTGAAACGGTCATTTTGATCTTGACATCATCTGAAAAGTCTGAACAATGAATTATTAAGTAATGTTCAGTCTTATAGTCAATTTTCTCTGGTAAATTTAGTACTTTTCAGACGATTCGCTTGCAGTCAATTTAGTACTGCTTAGTAGCTTTTCAGACAATTCAGTATTTTGTTGATCTGAACAGGTAAATAACAAATACTGAACAGTCTGAACATAGACTGAACAGATCTTAATTGACTGCAAGCTTATGGTCGTAAAAGTACTGAATTCATCGCAGTGGACAAGTATGAAAATTGACTGAAAAACTGAAAATGACGTAATTATTTCTTGTTCAGACTTTTAAGAGCTGTTCAGATCAAAATGACTGTTTCAGACTAACATTTGTTTACTAGTGCCCGCAAAATTCCATGGGAAGAATGTTAAAAATATACATTAAGAATATTTGACAATAAATTCAACCAAATATTAATTATACCTGAAAGTAATTATTGATATCTTAACAACTAAATAACTCATTCTTTGTTTTTTTATTTGAAAGAAACTCCAGATCTAACTTATTATTTTTACTCTTATGATTATTTGTCGTATTTTTATAATATCATAATACGTAAATAATTTTGTAAACATGTTAATAACAGCTTTGTAAATGACAATATATACTCAATTTAATGTGTGAATTAGTATTATATTACATTTTGAAGTATTAGACTCCTTGTATACATGATGTTTACATCTCATTTCCTGCATATTTATTAAGAGATAAATTAGTCTGGGCGGACACAATTTGCTAGTTTAAAAAGTCCATGGTTACAGAATTTACTAGTAATTTTAGTCCGAGTTCAGTAATTAATGTCCTCAGACAAATATTCCTAGGTATTCATGTCCATGTCCCTAATAATGAAAGAAATAATTTTTCATGTAAACAATGTAATGTTTAATTGTTTTTTTTAACAGATATACATTACTCTTTCAATAATTATTAAACTGCCTCTATGGGAGTTTTTAAGATATTACATTTGACTTATTTTCCCAGGAAAATTATGTCAGATAATTGTTTCATGTTTATAACTAAAATAAATTATTTCTTTATTTTGCTCTTTTGAAATTTGAATTAATATTAAGAAATGTCATATTGACAACACAGACTTTTATAACTAGGAAATTCGATTTTACAATTTAATCATTTTCAGCAGCGTTTGATACAAATTCCTTTGAAAAAAAGTTGCAGACATATTTTACTAGCTATGGACTTATTTTCCTAGGAAAATATATCCTGGGACTTACTTTTCTAGTAAAATTATGGCCATGGACTTGATTACATGGAAACAAGGTCTGGGGGGACAGATTTTACTACCGGACAGAATTTACTGTTACATATTTACCACATGTATTTTGTAAAATAATTTTGTATAATTCATTTGTATATTTGAATGAAATACAGAACTTTTCGCAGCTGGGAGTATTTACTTTTGTGCATGTGGAATTATTGTAAGGTGAACATATCTTTTATATGACAGGGTTTATCTGACTTTGACTTTAATAAATCAGTGATCAACGTTAAGTTTCCCTTGTTATGTCCATGTCTCAGATAGAAATATTTTTTAAATTATAGAATGATTGTATGGTTTGCATGTTAGTCTGGTGTAATTAATTTGACCTTCATTATACATGTTATATGTTCATGGGTTATTGCTCACATGATATTTACGTGGTCAGGTCCGTTTTTAAGATACTATTAACAATAGGTCAACTATATTTGGTGTATGGGATCCTTGTTAGGTGTACGTGGACGTCTAACAGCTTTCATCGATCATTGGTCACATAGAGTTTTTTTGGCTTTGTCCGTTTCTACGTATAGGTAGATAATGCTTGGTCATGTTCATAAAACATGACCAAGTATTGTCTGACCAATTATGAACATTTTCACACCTTCGAGTGACATTACCTAATAAGCCTCTCCCATTGTAATAATTAAACCTTAATATGAGCTCACTTTAAGTGTAAACATGGTTATTAAAAGGCATGTAAATCATATTAAATGGTCATTTCAACAGATGAAATGAAATAGCAATGAGATAATCTGTGATGACAAAAATGGTTAAATTATTCCAATAAAAAAGAGATTTCTTCTGCTTCAGGTACAAGTTTAATGCTCATATATTTAAAATTCTTTTTTTCTTTTTTAAAAGCACACAATGTTATATAAATCAGCTTTTCAAAAATTGTATAATTTTTAAAAATGACAAAACTTCATCAATAAATTTTAAAATAACAATCTTTTCAACATCAGATGCTTACATTTTTTATTGTTGAATGTATTGTGGTTTTTTTTTTAACTTCCTTTGATTTTTATTACCAACAGTATTTTTTTTCTTAAAAAAACATTGATTTGAATGTCTCGTATAAAAATAATATTAAACGTTATTTTACCTACACCTTTGTCCCCTTTTCAATTCTTTTTTTTTGTTCTATACATGTACCATTACATACGTTCAAAATGTCAAAATCTCGACTTAAAATGCTTTTATAGTTCTATTCTCCTGTTATCATATATAATAATTAGACAAACAAAGAGGGGCGAAAGATACCAGAGGGACAGTCAAACTCATAGATCAAAAATAAACTGACAACGCCTTGGCTAAAAAATAAAAAGATAAACAGACAAATAATAGTACACAAGACACAACATCGAAAACTAAAGACTAAGCAACACGAACCCCACCAAAAACTGGGGGTAATCTCAGGTGTTCCGGAAGGGTAAGCAGATCCTGCTCCACCCGTCGTGTTGCTAATGTTATTACAAATCCAGTAAATAGTCGGTAGGTCACATTCGTGGTGAAAAAGGATTTGCTGATTTATGAGTTTGAATGTCTCTATGGTATTTTTCGCCACTCTTTTAGAAGCTCAGAATATACTCACACAACACTTACCCATTATACTATACACTTACCAAGTGAAAATCCTGAACAATCATAGGTCTGTTCCATATATTTATTTGAAATTAATTTCAACCAAAGATAAAAAACTGCATCATCCACTATATTGACTACCTAAATTACAAAAGTGTCCCTACACTCGATGTTATATTGCTGGATCTTCAAGTGCTCCACGTAACCTCTTTCTAATTATTAAAAGCAATTTTATCAGTAATTAAAACCGGGTTTCAGAATTATTGTGAAACTACAGACCCTAGAGGCGGTTTGATACATACAATCTAAGTCTCTTTTTCCTCATGCACTAGTATTAAACTGTTTGACTTTACTATTGAAAGAAGTGATCATGACCATTGTAGCTACAAATATCTTGTAGTAGGGAGTGATAAATCGCAAAAACCACTCTTATTCAAACACTACACTCGATGTTATATTGCTGGGTCTTCAAGTGATCCACGTAATGTAACCTCTTTCTAATTATTAACATAATTTTTATCAGTTATCAAAACCGGGCTTCAGAATTATTGTGAAACTACAGACCTTAGAGGCGGTTTGATCGAATCAGATTTGGATACTTTAAATTTCCCAAGATCTGTTAGAGTACATACAATCTAAGTCTCTTTTTTCCTTCTGCAATAGTATTAAACTGTTTGACTTTACTATTGAAAGAATTGATCATGACCATTGTAGCTACAAATATCTTGTAGTAGGGAGGGATAAATCGTAAAAACCACTCTTATTCAAACAAAAAATTCTTTGAAACCGACATTCTCAAGATGCTTGATTTTTTTTTTATTTGACAACATATGTGTTGCTATACGTTGGGAGGACGTGTTTTTCAAGAAACAATTGGCAATTCCATCGGAACCAACTGTGCTCCTCTTCTTGCCGACTTAATCCTTTATTCATATAAGACAGACTTCATGCAGGAGCTTCTAAGGAAGACTAAAAATAAACTAGCATTATCTATTAACTTCACTTTCCGCTTTACAGATGATATACTCTAACTAAATAATTTAAAGTGTGGTGACCGAATTAGACTCATCACCGGGTTTGTACTTACTTAAGCAAAACTACGGATACCACATGTTGAGCAGGATCTGTCTACCCTTCCGGAGCACCTGAGATCACCCCTCTTTTTGGTGTGGTTCATGTTTTTCAGTCTATAGTTTTTTTCTATGTTGTGTTTTTTGTCTCTCTTTTAAAACCACTCAAGCGTATATCAATTTTGTATAACGACATCGTATTATTGGAAAGTGTGAGTAAGTTGAAAAGTTATCACCGATAACCGCAACGAAATAACAATTCCCCTCGTCCTGCATGAAATAACAATCTCCCCCACCCCCGTACATAACCCAAAATATCTGTGTTTACAACTTCACATGTAACTATAACTGTGTTATATACTTTATGTAAAATATATTGCTAGATGAAATTCAATGACATGCTTTTGTCGTATCGACGGATTCAATTCAACAATTTTAATAAGTGGAAAGGGGCCTCGGTGGCCGAGTGGTTTAAGTAGTCGAATTACTGTATGACTAGCCTGTCAACACTGAGGTTCGAATACGGCATATGGCAGGTGCGTTCGTCTCCTATC